GTCTGATACCCCAGTACTATTTTTGTACATGTAGCTTCTGTAATACATAAAAAACTATGATTTTTTTACCAATTATAGTACTCGACAATACTGATGACCTGCTAGGCATACGAGGGTCTATCATAGTTTTTTAATGTATTATAGAAGCTACATGTACAAAAAAAGTACTGCGTATCAGACCAATTGATCACGCCCATATATAAACATGTAAAAAATTCAAATCTGTGTACTTTAATAAGATTCTTTTGGTTAATAAAGTTAAACTTGAATGCGATCAAGTTTCAGAGTCCTAATTCGAGTGAGACTTAGGCCTTATCCAACCTACACATTGCACCGTCACATGTCTATACAGAATGAGATTTGTAAAAGAGAAATGCAGTCATATGAAAATAAACGATATAAAATAGTATTTTTAGAATAAGATATCAATGATAATTTGAAACAAACAAATCAAAATAAACTCCTTGGTTTCTGTTCGTCATCTCGTTAACCATATTTTAACTTACTTATAATCAAAAAATAAAATTGAAAGACTCGCAACACTTGAAGTACTTCCTCTATAAGTTTCAACATGCAATAATATAGATAATTTAGGAATCGACCAACATACGGTGACGATCTTAACTAACATGACTTCAGTTTTATTAAAACAAAAAACATCTGTATCCATAGTGTTTATTTTACATAGCGAATTGTGTGTGTATATGTACAGTCTACAGTTTAGTTTTAATTGAGATTGTGCTGATAAGTTGTTTAACGAAAAAAATATTAGTTGAAATGAGCAATGTCCAAGAATTGAGAAATAAGGATTTCTAAGTTGTCTAGAAACTCGCAATGAATGTATGATAATTCCTCGGAGAAACGAGAATTGACCAATACTTCCTTCATAGTCCCACCATTTTATAAGAGCAAAAGAGATGCTTTTTCTGTAATAGTTTTCATACATACAAATTCATCTTCACAAAGTCCTTGACAAATATAAATGTAAGAGCAAAAAATATCGCGAATTTTGCAGTTTTTTTTTTTTATTTTAGCAATCATGAAATTATTGAAGAACTAAGAAAGAATTCCTATTTCTCAGTCCTTAGACGCTTGCCTGTTGTTTGCTCACAACCATATTTGTATATCTTTTACAAGATAAAAAGTTAACATTTTATTTTTTTACGTGCAATATTTACCTGATGCATCTTTGTAAGGCTAACATATTGTCTTTGATTGTAAGTAACAAATCTTATGTTTTTGTAGAGACGTATTAGTCATCCCTTGCTTATGGATATAGAAACAAAAATTATCTTGACAAAAGTGATGCCGCTATTTGTCTGCCTTGAAGTCTCTCTCTCTTTAGTAGACCATTTGAAATAATGGCAAGGCAAAAAAAGGAAAAAGAGACAGAGAATTATTACTTATATCTACTACTAGAAAAGGAACAAAAAAAAGAAGATAAGACACTTTTTTGAAGTATTTCGCAATGAAGACGGACGTACAAAGAGTTAAAAATAAAGATTTACATGCACATGATTTTCTGTTTTAGAAATATATAATTTCATATGCGAGAAATCACTTAATAATCAAGAATTATGAATAGTTTTGTGTTCATGTTTTTTTTTCTATACCTTATTGGCATTGCAGGTAAGTTTGATCAGAAAAAAAATGATTTTCTCGAAAAACTATTATTGATGCTTTTTATGAGAAGATTGCAACTCGTCACGTGACGAGTTGTTTTTTTCAGAAAAAACAGGGTTTTTGTAACACCAAAAATAATGACATACGAGAAAACAGGGACAGTGTTTTTAATGAATGAGTGTACCCAGCAAAACAACGGGTACGGTACCCTAATAAAAATATATTTACACACTGTTTTACACGCTGATGAAAAAAGTAGCATGTACGCTGTACACACTGAATTTTTATATTACACTTTGATTTTTCTATTATCTCCATGCTTCTGCTGTATGTACAAAAATATAATTTATATATTGAACATCATGAAAATTTTATACGTAGACTCGGTTTAATTTGAAATAAGACAATAATTAACACGTTGTAATGATTTGTATTGAAACGTGCCGTTGTTCATTCACAACATCATCAGTTAAAAAAATTAAATAAAAAATCCAATAAAAAATTTAAAATAAAAATCACAAGAGAACAATTGCGCTGTTGTAATTCTCATTTTAAATTTTTTATTTGTTTTTTTTTATCTATTAATTTTCTTAACTGATGATGTTGTGAATGAATAGTGGAACGTCTCAGTATAAATGACCAAAATGTCTCAAATTAAAGTAAACTTCGTTTAACTTTCATTTTTAAGTGTTGTACATAAAAAGTTATTGTATAGTTGAAAATTCGTATTTGAGCTCTATCTATTTATGTTTCATATAGTGTTGGCTTTTTTGTTTTATTTTTTTGAAGATTTATGTATCTACAAGTGTGGATAAATAGTGTTTCATAAAAATATCAGTTGATATTTTTCATTCAGTCAAAGTCATTTTTGTGATTTGAAAACGTTTTATTTTTGTTTTTTTTTTCAAATCATCTTGTCTTCATTAAAATGAAAAATGAAATAAAATATTTTTAAATAAAAAATGTCTTTTATGGACAGAAAAAAGTTTCGCATTTCTTGTACATTTTGTACAATTTGCCACAAAAAACCAAGTGTACAGATACATGGCGTTCTAAAAAACACAGTGTACGCATACATTCTATTTCAGATTCTCATTAAAAACATTGAACAGGGATGTCGTAACGAAATTTACAGGGCGATTGTAACAGCTAAAATAGAATTTCTCACGGTATATTTCAAAGGACGTAAGAGTGTCAAATCAGGGCTGTCGTAACAAATAATACAGGGAAGCCATAACTGTTCATACAGGATTACAATGTTGAATGGAGAATCATTGTTAGTGTATTAGTATATTTATACTAATCATTATCTTACTGAATAGCTCCGTACTACTCTTATGTAACTCAGTGACATCTATAGCTGTGTAAAGATATGAATAATGTACGTTAAAGAGTAAATTAGGTAGGATACCTGAAAAGCTGCGGGCGTTCTGAAAGATGGTACATACTATAGCTATAGCCACCTCACAAAAAATAATGAATATAAACATTTTTTCTGTAAAAAGCCTGAGTTTTTATTCCGAAAGCCCTATAATTATAAATATCTATATGCCACTTTTACAGTGCGATAGCCTTACAATAACCGTTACGATAGCCCTGTATAAGCGGTTACGACAATCCTGTAAAATTCATTACGAAATGCCTTTAATTGAGGACGTGATGTTTTAAAATGGAACATATCAAATCACCAGTTACGATAGCCTTGATTCTGTCGTTACAAAACCTCTGTTATGGGCTTTCGTACTGTCAATTCGTTACGAAAGCCAGACAAAAAAAACGTGACGACTTGCATCTTTCCCTTTTTTATTTATTAAAGCTCAATCAAATAATCTCAATGAGGATCAGTAGTATGGTATATTCTTTTTAAAGAATACAAAAATAATTTTTTGTATAGATCAAGGTTGGAGAACTGACTCAGTCAATAAGCAAAACTTAAAACTGTATGAGTCCCTCCCAACAGAGTAACCACTTAGCCATGAGGGCAACACTAGTCAGAGACCATTACTTATCATGACAGACATTAATGAATAATCACAGACCATATATCAATAAAATCTCATTATGATATATGAGTTAATTCCTTATTCCATTTTTGGAGGATCCGATAAAACAATGTTGAAGAACTGTGCCCAAAGGCAGATACAATGAAACAATCCCTTCGTGATTAACAAGAGCAGCTATATCGTTTTTTATATTTTAGTCCCGCAGGAATTGTACTAATAGCTTATCATTTTTTTGTCTAAGTATCTTCTCCTCCCTCAAAAATCGATCTTAGACTAAGAACATTCAAATAGCATGAAATTTTCAGGATACATTGTGGCTGTAGTGAAGAAGCTATGATAACATTTCCAGCCATATACCATGACGTTTTCGGGTATTTACTTAGCAAACAAGGGTAAAAAATATCTCATTTGGCAACTCAAAACTTCCTTTTTTTTTAAACTCTTACTTTATAAGCGGAGAAAAGTGATGAAAAGTTCAATATCTCAAAAACTCTTAGAAAATGGAGCTCTGATTTTAAAAGTACTGTTTTATATAATAGTAACAAAGCTTATAAAGACGTGCACCGCACCTAAAAAACGAGGCGGAGGCGGTCCCGCCCAAAAGCGTTTTTAAGTGGAGGCGCGGCCGCCTCATGATACCTGGAGAAGTTGCTTTTCGATTTTTTCTGAAGAGTTTTTGCGCTAATATTTCTTAAGAAATAGTGATTCCTGTCTTGACAATGACCTATGAGCAAAACTACACAACTAATAAAACCCTAAAAATACACTTCTTTTAATAAACTTCAGCCAGACACACTGATGTCAGGTGTGGCCTGTTTCCGCATTGATTTATTTTATGCATAAATTAAGGTAGATTCGGATTAGTTTTCAATAAACATCGATTACAATTTTATTTATACATATTGTAAATGAATATTAAAATGAAATAATGAAACTAAAGATATCTTATGAACATTGAACCTGCTAATGATTTAAATACTTTATTTTCAAACTTTTGAGCGTCTAAGTTTCTTTCTTTTAAAATTGCCCGTGAAGTTTGCTTACAAAATATTTATTTGTCAGCTCGAAAAACAATAAAAACAAAGTGTTAATTACTCGCAGTTTGTATGAAAAATTGGTTCACTTATATGATGAGTGAGCTTTTCTAGTCAATATTCCTACAGAATTTTTTGTTCTGTAAAAAATCTATGTAAAATTTTGACAAGAGAAATATATCCAGTTTGTTGTAAATAGGTATGGAATAGTATGGATAAAACTTCACAAATAGAGTGATGTACTTCATCAGAGAACCAGAAAATCAAAACGAACAATACATGTAGTATATGTGACGAAAAGACTAAAAGAAAAAAAAAAGACTTTAAGGCGTAGGTTATAATGTGTGTCGTAAAGGTAAGGTGTTCCGCCAATCAAAAAGTATTAGCGATAAATTGAACGAAATTCGATTTTCTCTTAAGAGTAATAAGTCTGACGATATCACTTCCTGTTTTTACTTTTAGTTTAGCACAAAAAATGCACAGATACTGTTCGAAAACGTTAAAATTGACTTGGAGAAATTTTAGCAACTGATATAATCTAGACACGGTGCACATCTCTGAAGGCTTACTTCAAAAAAAGGGACTCTGTCATGTCCTGTATCTTGACATGCTCTTTCAAACAAAAAAAAGCTACTGACTACAATGTGAACCTCCTTTGAGAATTCTTGGATGCGCGATCAAAAAAGAAAAAACGAAGAAGAATTTTTGGGTATTTTTTTAAAAATCGCATATTTTCAAGAAGGAAAATGATAGAAATCATAAAAATTCTGGAAAAAAAAGGAGGTGTCGAATAAATAATTTTGATGTTTCTGGGAGATTAGATCACGGGGTGTCTTGCCCTGTATTTATCTTAATTTTGACCATTCTGATAAAAACTGACTTTTTTGAGAGGAAGAGAACTTTAGGTAATATTTCTATTGATAATATTGTTTTTTCACCTAATGTTGCATATTTAACAGGGAAACTAACAACAACATCAAGTGGACCTATTACATCAACGACTTATCGTATGAACAAATATATTTAAGAAAGATTGATCATTGAGTTTTTGTTTTTTTTATTTAACTTAGCACCCACAATATATGATTGTGATTTTGAATGTAATTGTACATGTAATTGGAAACATGATGATACAACAAAATTTCAATGGATTGTTACAAAAGGGTCAACATTGACTTCTGGTACAGGACCTGATAGTGATCATACAACAGGATCAAGATTGGGTTTTTTTATATATATTGAAACAAGTACACCAGCAAAATTTAACGACACAGCTCGTTTAATTAGTCCTGATTTGATTGTTACAAATGATGAACAATGTTTTCAATTTTATTATCATATGTTTGGATCCTATGTCTATCGATTAAATGTTTATGCACGAATTAGTAAGTTTAATTTATTCTTTACAAATTTAATTTATTAATTTGTTTTTGTTTTATTTTAGATGGAAATCTTGGTAAAGCTCTGTGGCAAAAAGAAGGCAATCAAGTAATAAAAACATTGACTTTCAAATATATATATATATATATTGGCTTTTTTAGGGTAATCAATGGTTATTTGGTCGTATATCATTACGTGGTAATATTGAACAAACAATTGGTCAACCATATCAATTAGTTGTAGAAGGTATTGTTGGTAAAAGTATTCAAGGTGATATAAGTGTTGATGATCTTGCTTTTAATCAAGGACCTTGTCCAGCATCAAGTAAATTTGAAATCTTATTTTGTTTTTTTTTTGTATCTTGTGTAAAAATGTTTATTTCTTCTTTTAGCTGTTTGTGATTTCGAAACTAGTGATCTATGTAATTATATTAATGATCCAACAAATACAATTGATTGGCAACGTTTTCAAGCTGGAACTGATTCATCATTACCATCAGTTGATGTTACTTATAGTTCATCACATGGACATTTTATGTTATTAAAATCAGATAATCCATCAAGAATAGGAAATGGTCGTCTTTTAACACCAAGTTATCCTGATACAAGTGGCTCATGTATAAAATGGTATATGTTATTAAAAAATACAGCAATATTAAATATTCGAATATATGTATTTGGTACAATAAATCCAAATATTCTTTGTACTATTCGTGGTGCACATGGTAATCAATGGAAATTAGCACAAACAACAGTAAGAAGTGAATTATCTTATCAAGTGGTATTTGAAGGTATTTTAAATAATACATTAGATTCTATAGCTATTGATGATATTGAAATAAAATCTGGTGTATGTGATGAATTAGGATCATGTGATTTTGAAAAAGATTTATGTGGTTTTCAATATCTTAAAGGTGATTTTGATTGGAAACGAACATCTTATAATATTGAATTATCTAATGCACCACAATTTGATCATACAATAAATAATCGAGGAGGTATGATTTAAGAAAATCGATATTTTATACAATATTAATGGTTAAATTTCTTTTTTGGTTTAGGATTTTATTTATGGATGGATCGTCGACAGACTATTCAAGGTAAAAAAGCTCGAATTGAATCTGAACTTATGTTAGTTGAAGTACGATGTATATCATTTTGGTATTTTATGAATAATACTGTTGATGCTCAATTAAATGTTTATATACGTGATCCACGTTCAGATACTTATAATTTAATTTGGTCAACAGATCAAATTCATGGATCATTCTGGGTATTACAAGAAATAACTGTTCGACCAAATATGACAGTTTATGGAACAAATCAATTTACAATTGTTTATGAAGCTGTTGTTGGATCAAAGACTGGTGGTATGTATTAGATTAAAAAAAAAAAAAAAACTTTATTTTAATTTATATGAATGTATTATTTTAGATTTGGCTATTGATGATTTAAGTACACGATCAGGAAGTTGTCTATCAACAACACCACCTCAAAACATGTATCAATGTCTTGATGGAACACTTATTGCAAAAACAAAAGTGAGGAAATAAGAAAACAAAACTAAATAGATGTATATTAAAATTATAATTTGTTTTCTTGTTTTTTAAGACATGCGATTTTATTGTTGATTGTAAAGGTGGTGAAGATGAACGTTTATGTGGTAATTGTACATTTGAAGAAACAATTAATCCTTTATGTGGTTGGACTGATGTTAGTAAAGGTTCACTTATGTGGAAACGTGGTTCAAATGGAACATTAGTTGGAACAAATCCAAGACCAACATTCGATCATACAACATATAGTACTAGTGGTAATTATATTTATTTAACATCAAGTAATGGAACTACATCAAATTCACCAGCACGTTTGATAACATCTGTTTTTCGTCAAGCAAGTTCAACATGTCGTATTGAATTTTGGATTTATTTAATTGGTACATTATCAAATCAATTAAATGTTATATTATTAACTGGTAATCAAATTGAACGAGCAACATTACAACGATTTCATTATCAATCAATGATTAATTGGACAAAGGTAACTATTGAAATTGGTCGTATTAATGTACCATTTCAAATATCATTTGATTCACAACAATTAATAACAGAGAGATCGGTTGCTATTGATGATATAAAAATACTTCATTGTCATTTACCACCAATTGTTAATCCAAATCAATGTCAAACAGCAGATCGATTTCTATGTTCACGTGGTTCATGTATAGCAAAATCTCGTATTTGTGATTTAACCGATGATTGTAGTGATAAATCAGATGAATCAGATCGTTTATGTGCATCATATCAAACATGTACATTTGATATATCATTTTGTGATTGGACACATGATAAAACAACAGAATTTAAATGGATATTAGTTCAAGGAGCATCACCATCTGATGAAACAGGCGTATGATTTCTTTTTTTTGTCTATTGGACTTTGATATTTAATAAAAATAAAACTTCTTGTTTTTTTTTTATGTAGCCAAATCGTGATCATACAACTGGTTATGCAACAGGTCAATATGCTTTTATTGAAGCATCATATCCACAATTACCAGGACATAAAGCACGTTTAATAAGTCGAACATTTCAACCAAGTACAGCACAGTGTCGTATGATATTTTATTATCATATGTTAGGTAAAGATATGGGTCAATTAAATGTTTATGTACGATTTTATTCAAATGGTCCATTACAAAAGATCTATGGTGTCTCAGGTAAATTTAATAGAATTTGTATTTTTTTTGTCTCTTTCTCTCTTCTAAATCATTTATATCATTATTTTATTTAGGTGAACGAGGCAATGTATGGATTCGACATGAATTAAAATTAGATTATACAATACCATTTCAAGTATTAATTGAAGGTGTAGTAGGAGCAAGTTTCTTGAGTGATATTGGTCTTGATGATACAATATTTATACCTGAATGTCAACCTTATGTATCATCAGAATTACCTACGACAACAATTACAACATCAACAGTTGCACCAAAACCATGTCCTATAGCTGAACAATTTCGTTGTGCTGGAATTGATACATGTATTGACAAAGAGAGGGTAACCATTTTTTTTTCTTTTAATAAGATTTTATTTTATATATAACAAAATGATACTATATTAGGTTTGTGATTTTACTATTGATTGTCCTGATGGATCTGATGAAGTATGAAAAACAACGAAAAAAAATTTTTTTTTCTATAAATTCATACTTATTTGTTTTTTTTAAAGGATGGTTGTGGTCCATGTAATTATGAAAAAGGTTTGTTTATATAAAATAAATAATAAGTTAAAAATGATTGATTTTTTCTTATAAAAGATGACTGTGGTTGGGAAGATACATCATGGAGTTTTTATTTATGGTCTCGAGTGCAAGCAAGTAATGCTATAACTAATTCATCTAAAGCACCTGGTTTCGATCATACACTTAATAGTCCGGCAGGATGGTATTAATAGTCAAATATATTATAAAATTCCTGAATAATTACTTTTTTTTACATAGGTATATGCATGTTGCTGGTGATATGGGTGATTTCTTTGATCTTGCTCAATTACGTAGTCCATCATTACCTGCATCAAGTTCTGACTGTCAAATAATATTTTATTATTGGCTTGTTGGTAATAGTACTGGTACACTTAGATTATTTTCATCAACAAATACTAGTACAGTTTGGTCAAAATCTAGTGCACCAGCTAATCGTTGGAATCGAGGTACTGTTAATGTTGGTGCTAATCCAGCTGGATGGAGATTATTTATTGAACTTGAACCTAATTTGGACTTTTTTGGAGCTTGGACAGATGATGTTGCTATTGATGATATATCATTTTCACAATGTACTGTAAATCGATCACGACATGTACTTGATTGTGATTTTGAAACGGATTTTTGTTCATGGGAAACAATTGGTTTAGCTGATTTTCATTGGACACGAACATCATCAAAAACACCATCGATTGATACTGGTCCATCTGGTGATCATACAACAGGTACAGGTTATTATATTTATATTGAAGCTAGTTTACCACAAAAACCTGGTGATCGAGCTTGGCTTGCAAGTCCATTAATATCACCAACAACATCAAGTTGTCTTGTTTTCTATTATCATATGTAAGAATAAAGTTTTCGAAATTTTATTCTCAAATTTCTTTTTTTTTTTGAAAAATTAGGTTCGGACCTGATATTGGTACATTAAATGTAATGTTACAAACATCACTATCAAATCTAACTATATTTACACGAAATGGACCACAAGAAAATCAATGGAGAAAAGGAGAAGTAGATTTTCAAAGTACACTTTCATATAAACTTGTATTTGAAGGCATTGGTAAGTTTATACGTACAATTATTAATTACAAATAAAAAAACAAACTTAAATTCCTTTATTTATTTAGTTGGAAATAGTTGGAATGGTGATATAGCACTTGATGATATTCAACTCTTTTATGGTAATTGTTCACAAACAACAAATGAATGTACATTTGAACATGGATTATGTGATGGTTGGGGAAAAGGTACTGATGGTGATTTTGAATGGTCTCTTGGTCGAAATGGTTCAACACCAAGTGGTACACCTACTGTTGGTTCGTATTTATTTATTTATTTATAAAAACAAATCCTATGTATTTTATTATATTTCAAAAATGTAGATCATACATATTCATCAGCTATGGGATATTTTCTTTTTGTTGATCCAACTGATCGTTCATTTGGTGATGAAGCTCATCTTGTTTCATCAAGTTATACAGGTAATCAACTAAGATGCTTACGTTTCTGGTATCATCTTTATGGAACTGAACAAGGTATATTACAAATACAACAAAAACCTGAAACAGGTCGACCGAAAATAATATGGACGAAATCAAATGATCAAGGTAAAATATATTTATTTAGGTTTCTTTTTAAATTAAATTTATGATTTTTGTTTTAGATAATATCTGGCGTCAAGTACGTGTTACTATTCCACCATTAGTTGATTTGAGTACATATAGAATTCATATTATTGGTATTGTTGGGCCAAAACCAACTGGAAGTGAGAATTTTTTTCTTTTGTTTTAATGAGATTTTTATTTTTAATTCATATTCTATTTCTTAGATATGGCTATTGATGATATATTAAATATTGAAGGTGAATGTTCTGGTTCAGAAGTTTGTACATTTGAAGAAGATCTTTGCAATTGGATTAATGGACAAAATGGTTTAGTTGATGATTTTGATTGGTTACGTAATTCTGGTTCAACACCAACTGTTGGAACAGGTCCAAGTATTGATCATACATTAGGAACATCCAATGGAATGTATTTATATATTGAAGCAAGTACTACAGCTAATAAAAACACAATAGCATGGTTAATGTCAGAACATCATGATTCTGGTCCACATTGTTTGGTATTTTGGTATCATCTTTATGGAAGAGATATTGGTGCATTAAATGTATATTCACGTATTGGAACGTCAAAACCTCAACTTGAATGGAGGTAAGACGAGATGTTTTTATTTTATCAATATTGCAACATTATATGAATTTTTTTATAGTTTAACTGGTGATCATGGTGATCATGGTGATCAATGGCGAATGGGAGCTGTTAGTGTTAATATGGGAGCTGAATTTTATTTCATTATCGAAGGTAAAAAAAAGAAAAATTAATAAAACTAAACTATATTTCTCTCTTTAAAAAGGTACTCATGGTGGAAGTTATCTTGGTGATATAGCTATTGATGATCTTCTTGTATTACGAAATTCACATTGTGCAGTTCCAACAACAACAACAACGACTACTACAGCGATAACGACACTTGGTCTAAATACATCATTATCATGTAATTTTGAAAATGATATATGTAAATGGACACATGATCTAACAATATCTGGTAAATGGTCACGACGTCAAGGTCAAACAAATGGTCTTCAATATGGTAAGAAAAAACTAAATATTTTTATGATTTATTAGAAATATTTATTTTATATAGATCATACATTACAAACTGAAGATGGTTGGTTTATTGATACATCAGATTTAAAGAGTAATCAAACAGCACGTTTAATTAGTACAATAATTTCAATAACAAATCGTGGTTTATGTTTTCGATTTTGGCATCGTGCATTTGGTTCAAAACAAGGAAAATTAAATTTATTACAAAGAACATCAAATCAACAAAATACAACATTAATTTATAGTATACGACTAAATCTTGATATTGATTGGCGTGAAGCTTTTGTTTATCGAGAAATATTAGGCGATTATCAATTCATACTTGAAGGTATTGTTGGTAATAAATTTACTGATTTAGATAATATAGCTATTGATGATATAACAACAAATGAAGGTATATTATTCAATATGAAAAATAAAACAAAAATCAATTCTTTTTTTTTGTTCTTAGGTCCATGTTCAACACAAAGATTTTGTGATTTTGAATCACAAGATATATGTGGTTATGTTCATGATCCATCAGGTAATTTTAATTGGACTCGTTATCGCGGTCAAACAAGTAGTACGAGTACTGGTCCATCATATGATCACACAACATTTACAAAAGAAGGTATAGAAAAAAATCAAAAATAAAAAGACATGAAAATTCATTTAAACATAAATTTTCCTTTTATTTAGGTTATTATATGTATATTGAAACAAGTGCACCACGTAAACCAGATGATATAGCTCGTTTAATTAGTCCAGTATTTCCTGCATCAAAACAATATAATTGTTTACAATTTTATTATCATCAATATGGAGTAGATATTGGTGCATTCAATGTTTATAAACGTGATGTTGGTAGTTCATTAAATCCATTGCAAATTTTTAGTTCACAAGAAAATCGTTTTGATGAATGGCATATTATGGAAATAAATCTCGTAGCATCAAAACCTTATACTATTATATTTGAAGGTGTTGTTGGAAAGAGTTTTTTAGGAGTAAGTTTTGTTTTTTTCTTTTTTGTTAAATATGAACATTTTGTTTTTGTAGGATATTGCTATTGATGATGTTCTTATTAAAGAACGACTTTGTCCATCAGTTGGTAATTGTGATTTTGAACAAAGTATGTGTACATATAAAAATTCTGAAAAAGATAGTGAAATAGATTGGATACGAATGCGTAATGATATTGGTGATAATACAATAGGAACTAAATTTGGGACATATCTTGCATTTGATATGACATCAACAACTATACCATCAAGTCGTGCTTTACTTATATCACCTCATTTAGATAATACAGCACAATATTGTTTTCAATATTATTATAGACGTTATGGTGATGGTCAAGGTTCTTTAATAATTAATCGACAAATATTTGCTAATATGACTGCACATGATTTATTAGTTAAACATGAAAGTAATGATTTTACAAATGAATGGAAAATTAATCAAATTGTACTTAATCCATTATTAAATCAAACATCAAATGTCTATCGTTTATTATTTGAAGGTATTAGTATAAGTGGTGTTGGTCGTTTAATGCTTGATGATTTTGAACTAATCAATGGACCATGTCCACCATTACCAAATAATTGTTTAATTCAATGTGATACATCAACTAGTCCAAGACAATGTATACCAACAACTCAAATATGTGATTTTAATATAGATTGTCTTAATGGTGATGATGAACGTTTATGTGGTTATGATTGTACTTTTGAAAGTGACCAATGTAATTATACTGATTCATCAGTAGGTGTATATAAATGGCGACGACAACGTGCAGGTCTTTCAGTACCAGGTACTAATTCAAGACCATCTATAGATCATACAACTTTATCACCAAATGGTTATTATATGATTGTATCAACAAATAATGGTACTATTGATGAACGAGCACATTTACTTTCGCCATTATTTCAACAATCATCATCAACATGTGAATTAACATTTTATTATCATATGGCAGGAACAAATATTGATCGTCTGGAAATTGTACTTCTTCAAGGTTTACAAAGAAGTCGTATAAGGTTAATTAAAGGTACTCAAACTGATCGATGGTATAAAGGTATTGCTAAAATAGGTCGTTTATATCGTCCATTCCGAGTTGTTTTTGATGCAAGTGAAACAGCAACAACATTAGCTAATATAGTGATAGATGATATTCAATGGATTGGTTGTAATTTACCAATAATTAAGAATGAAAGAGTAGCATGTACTACTAATCAATTTCAATGTAAACGTGGTGGTTGTATTGATCAAAATCGTATATGTGACTATACAGATGATTGTGGTGATAGGAGCGATGAAGATGATTCAACTTGTTCAAGACTTACTGGTATACCAGGGTAAATTATTATATATCAAAAAACAAATAAAAGGAAAATTATTTTTTGTCTATATTTATTTTTATTTTAGTTGTGATTTCGAAAGAAATCTATGTAAATTTGTGAGTTTATCTAATCAACAACTTCGATTTGAACGTATACGTGCTGATCAATTAATTAATGATTATGCACCTGAAAGAGATCATACATTAAATAATATAGCAGGTTCTTTTGTTTATGTTAATACACTTGATCAACCACCAAATGGTATCGGTCATTTAAAATCATCGCCATTTATTTCAACACCTGGTTGTAAAGTACGATTTTATTATTATATGAATAGTGCAACAAATCCTGGTCAATTAACATTTATGGTTCGAAATCAAACACAAGGATTAACAACAAATATATGGTCAATATCAAAAGTAATCGGTGATCATTGGGAACGACAAGAATTATTATTACCAATAGGATCATTATTGGAATTATTAATTGAAGTTAAAAGTTTAGATGGTGGTGGTGGTTTTATTGCCCTAGATGATATTTCATTTTCACCACAATGTAATAATTCAAATTCATTTTTACCTTATGGTACAACACCTGGACTAAATGAAACAACAACAACACATGTACCATGTACATATAGATGTAATGATGGTACTTGTATTGGAAAAGAAAAGGTAAAAAAAAACTTTTATTTATGAAAAAAAGAAAACAAATGCAATTTTTGGATATTTATATAGCGTTGTAATTTTGTAACGGATTGTTCACAACGTGAAGATGAAGTTGATTGTGGTGAATGTGATTTTGAAATATCAACTTGTGGTTGGCAAGATGACAGTGTTGGATATTATATGTGGGCAAGACGTAATGCATCATCAATTCTACTCATGCCTGGTGATATGACAACAAGTATATTTGATTAATTTATGTTTCATTTTAATATATATATATATTTTTTAGATACAACAATAGGTTTTGTAATGACAGTTACTGAAGGTTCAGGATCATTTGCTGGTAGTAGTCGATTAGTTTCTGAACGTATTGCATCAACTGTAGCATCATGTCGTGTTACATTTGGCTTGTATCGTAATGTTGATAAAAATGGTACATTAGCACTTTATCTTGAAGATGATTTGAAATTAACCACAAAACTTTGGACTGATCCACGAACAACAATTGGTCGAATATGGACACCGATAACTGTTAGTATTGGACGAAGACGTTCTGGTTTTCGACTTGTATTTATTTCAACACATGTTGGTTCAACAACATCATCTGATATATCTATTGATAATTTTAAATTTCTTGAATGTAATACACAAACAATTGGTCAATGTGAAGGTTTTACTGATCCATTTAATTGTTCAAATGGAAATTGTATTCATCAAGATAATGTAATACAAATTTTATAGTTTCATATCAATTTAGAAAAAAACAAATTTCTTTTTATTTTTTAGTTATGTGATTATAGTGATGATTGTGGTGATAATACTGATGAAAATAGTTGTGAAAAATATATTCAAATGTGTAGTTTTGAGAATAATGCAGAACCAATATGTTCATGGTCACATGATGATGATGCAGACTTTAGATGGCAACGTATGCGTGGTGAACAAGTTCATAATTTTGATTGGTATGATGATTTCTGGCAACTCTATGGTCCTGATCGTGATCATACATTAGGTAAGAATTAATTTTATAAAAAAAACAAAGTAAAGTTTAATTATAATTTTTATTTCAATGAATATAGGAACACCAAAAGGACATTTTCTATTTCTTGAAACAAGTGCACCACGTAAACCAAATGATACAGCACGTGTTATTAGCCCAGTATTTGTTCCAACAACATCAGGAGAATGTCAATTTCGATTTTGGTATCATATGTATGGTTATGATGCCGCATCATTAAATGTATATACACGTACTTTTATTGGTGGTCCATTGACATTAGTTTGGAATCAAAATCATGAAAAAGGTGATGAATGGTTTCGTGCTAAAATTCTTCTTAAAGTTCAACAACCATTTCAAGTACTTATCGAAGGTGTACGTGGTGCTAGTTATGAAGGTATTTTTCATTTTTTTTTGTTTTTCATTTGTATATTTTAAATTTTATTATTCATAGGTGACATTGGTGTTGATGATACAAGTTTTACACCAGGTTGTCAAGTACAAATCACAGCTACATTACCACCTATTGTATATTCTACAACACAAAGTCCATATTGTAATTCAACACATTCTCATTGTTTAACAAATACTCGTCAATGTTTACCAAAAGATCAATTTTGTAATTTTAATGTGGATTGTACAGATCAAACAGATGAATTATCATGTCCATCAACATGTAATTTTGAACAAAACACATCATGTCTTTGGACAAATGATCGCAAACAAAAACTTGAATGGAGTTTTGGTAGTGGTAGAACAGCATCAATGAACACAGGTCCAAGCACTGGTAAATCTTGTTTTATTTTTGAATTAAAACAAATCTTATTAATATATTTTTTTTCTCCTTAAGATTATACAACACATAGTATTAATGGAACATATATATATTTGGAAACAAGTGATGGTAACTTTGGTGATCGTGCTCTTTTTATTAGTCCACTCTATCGTAAATCTTCAAAGATGTGCAAGTTTACATTCTGGTAAAATTAAAATTACATTTTATTTTTCAAGAAAATCTTTTATTATTATAGGTATCATATGTTCGGTGATACAATTAATACATTAAATATTTATGTACGTTCTGGTGGTATTGATACATTGATATGGTCATTACAAGGAAATCAAGGTGATAAATGGTTACAAGGAATAGCACAATTACCAACATGTGCATCAGAATTTAATATTCTTGTTGAAGGTATACGTGGCACATCATTTACAGGTGATATAGCTTTAGATGATTTTCGTTTTGAACAATGTTATGAAAATCCTCCATTACCAACATGTGCACAAGTTATTGGAGATCCAAATCAATTTATGTGTCAAAGCAAACATTGTATATTACAAGAAAATAAATGTGATTATGAATTAGATTGTTGTGATGGTAGTGATGAAGATAATAATATATGTTATGAATATCAACGGTAAGAAGAAGAAGAAAAAACAAACAAATAAAAGAATATTTTAAAAAATCTAATCTTTATTTTAATTAGATGTGATTTTGAAACAGATTTTTGTCTATGGAAACCAACAACTGATAGTCAATTAGAATGGAAAAGATATCGTGTTAATGCAATACCATATGACCGACGACCACCATATGATCATACAACACGTAGTCAACTTGTACGTTTAAAAAAATTCGTTTATTTTAAATGAATATATTTAAATGTAATTTTTTTTAAAGGGTTATTATTTACAATTACCTTTGAATTCAACAATACAAAGAGATACATTAGCAACTATATCAAGTTATCTTGGAGTAGCAGCACAACAAGGATGTACGATGCGTTTTTGGATTTATTTTAAATCTTCTAATAATGGACAATTAGTTGTTGGTTATCGACATACTATTGAAGATGAAATTAGACCTTTACCATTTTCAAATTATCAATCATGTCAAACAAATGCAATACAATGTTCATGGCAACGTATTGATGTTTCGCTAAATACAATTTTAACACAATCAACTGAAGTACAAACAAAAATAAAAAAAAAACATTTCTCTTTTGATGATTATTTTTATTTATTCAAATAGATTATTATTGGTGTAAGAACCGGTGCTGATCGTGATGGAATTATGGCAATAGATGATATAACATATACACCACAATGTGTTCAATATAATGAAACAATGTCAACACCATACACAGGCCTATCAAAAACAACTACTGCAATAACAACATACACAGGTCCGTCGACAACAATTTCTACAACAACACCATATACAGGTCCTTCAACAACAACGACTAGAATGACTACAATTGCATCCATAGAAACATCAGCGACAACTGGTACGGCTGAAATAACTGCAACTACTTATGCTCGTAATTTCTTTTTCTTGTTTTAAAGAAAAAAAAAGTCTAGTTCTTTCTATTATGATTAGAATGTGCTCAATACGCTTGCTATAACGATGGTATTTGTAAACCATCATCAACACAAATTGGTGAACCAATGTGCGAGTAAGTTTATTTTCTTACACAGATATATATATTTCTTCATGGAACAAAATTTGCTTAAGATGTAAACCTGGTTTTAATGGTCCACAATGTGAAAATGAAGAAACATCACCAAAAAAGAATAATTGTAAGTAAAATATTCTTTATAGTAATAAATTATTTGATTTCATTTAAATATTTCTAGTGGGTGCTATTTTGGGTGGAGTTTTTGGTGGACTTGCTGCTATAACTTTCGTTGTTGTTGGATATATCTATGTTTCATCGAAAAAGCGTGCAGCTAGGTTTTATTTAAAAAAAATATTTTCATTTTTCGATTATGATTATTTGTCATTTTATTATGTTTTTTCTAGAGTTGCAAATGCAAGTACACAATTAACTGATTCATTATCAAATGGTTCAACTAAAAATCCTACTTACAATGAAACTGTAGTAACTGATACATAAAAGAATTGAACTTGTTTTCCAGCTATAATATAAAATTTTGTTTTTTTGTTCCGAGAAAACGTAATTTGTAAAATTATATTTTTTGTTTTTTTTTTATTAATGACATTTATAAAATAAAAATAAACTTCACTAAATATATAATCATATTTTGATTGATAATGATTCATACGCCGAATGATGAGAAACATAATACATAGAAGTGATTTTTTTTTATTGACTTTACTAATTTTGTTTCGATAAAACTGATGCTGTATATCTCTTATAGGCGACAAGATGAATAAACTAATTTTTTACTGATAGACGTTATCGTTAAGGTTCCTCTTATAATGAAATTTAGACCACAAACATTCCAATCATACGAGATTGTCAAGATATGTTGGGAGTGTAGCGAAAAAGCTGTCGTAAAATTTCCAGCTTGATACCATGATGTTTTCAAAAAAAAGGGTCCATAATCGCTAAATTGGTAATCTAAACTTTTCTATGAACATTCATTCTATAAACTTTATTTTTCTTTTTTTTTGATAGAATGTGTCAGACTACAAAATCTGACAGAAACTTTTATTTAATTCTTAGTTTTACGTCGGAATTTAATGGTGACAAGTCCAACACGACAAAAAGATTTAAAAAAAATGGTACCAACTTTTCAAATTTTATTGGTCTATTGGACTTGTCATCTGTAGCATCCAACGAAAAAGTAAGAATTCCAAAAACAAAGAGCTCGATCAACACTTACAACCTGATATGCTTTATCAAACAAAAGAAAAATAAAGTATATATATATGGCAAGCGAGTTTGGAACCTAATTGAGATTGGAAGAGAATTTTTGTAATTTTCTAGTAAGAAATAATGTTAACGTATAAAAATAGAAACATTATTTATACAGTGAGTAAGTATTATTTGTTTTTATTTTTCTACAAAGAATATAAATTTTATTATTATTTTTTTCTGATAATCATGAGATGGAGACATTGAATGATTCGCGAATTTTCAACTAATAAACAGAATTTTTTCAAGTCATTGACGAAAAAAAGATATCCATTCAGGATACTAAGATAAATAATTAAATATTAAAAGTTAGTGTTCCATATCGATATTTTATATTTTTCAAAACAATTGAATCAAACGTATAACGAGCAGATGCAGGATGAGGGAGATTTTTAAAATTCAAGGTGCCTGAAATCACATGCACGTCTTATCATTACGATATCAGGGCATAATAAATGATTATAAGTAAGGTGTGTCGGAAATGTGAATTTTCAGTAAAAATTTTTTTTTGTCGTTTTTACATCATTTGATAGAGCTTGAACTGCTGATCACGAAAAACCACTCTTTAGCCTCAACAAATGTTTCTTTCCGGTAGAAAAATTCGAGATACTCGGGAGAAGTCGTTTTTTCGAAGAAACCCATCTTTTTCAAAATGTGCAAAATTTTCGGCTTCGTCCTTTTCTCCAGCTGCTGGAAATATTTTTTTCAGATTCATCATCAAAAACTGAGTATAAACAAGTTGTTAAATCGACTCTAGATCCAAAACTCTATTGCTGGTGGCACTTCGAATCGCGGCGAGTGCACCAAGTATAGGTCGATTTTGTAAACCTATCTAGTTTTTCTACGTAAGTGATAAAGCCAAATGTTTTATATCATTCGATTCATCATACCATCCCTCAACACTCCAAGTATTGGTTTCTTCTCTTTCTTTTCCTCAGTTGAGAAAAACCGTTTTTACTGGCACTATAGCCATTTCAGGCGGTATTCAACGGTTTTCGAATTCAAATAAGACTTTTGGTGACAAAGTAAATGCAGATTCCGAATCAGCACAAAAAATTGAGTCGAATGAAGTATCTTTCAAGCTGATTTAACAACTTTCATTTTTTTTCATTTTTTCAGATATTGTCGAAGGACTGAAATTGCTGTAAACGGGTCAAAAAATGAAAGTCGTCAAATTAACTTGAAAGATACTTCATTTGACTCAGATTTTTGTGCTGATTCCGAATCTGCCTTTACTTTGTCACCAAAAGTCTTATCTGAATTCGAAAACCGTTGAATATCGCCTAAAATGGCTACGGTACCAGTAAAAACGGTTTTTCTCAACTTAGGAAAGGAAAGGAAAAATACCGATACTAGGCATGTTGAAGGATGGCATAATAAATAGAATGAGAGAAAATATTTGGCTCTATCGCTTACGTAGAAAAACTTGATGGGCTTACAAAATCGACCTATACGTGGTGCACTCGACGCAATTCGAAGCGACACCACCAATAGAGTTTTGCATCTTGAGCCGATTTAACAATTTATTTCTACTGAGTTTTTCATGCTGAATCTGAAAAAATTATTTTCAGAAGCTAGAAAAAAGAGCAAAGTAGAGAATTTGCACATTTTGAGAAAGAATGTGTTTTTCTCAAAAAACGACACCTTTCGAGTATTTCGTATTTTTCGACCGGAAGGAAGCATTTGCTAAGGCTAAAAAGTGGTTTTTCGTGACTAACAGCTCATGCTCTATCAAATGATGTAAAAAAATGCGAAAAACAATTTTTACTGAAAGTTCGAATTGCCTGCACCTTACTAATGAAATTGAAACGTAACTTTTTTTTCTCTAAATAGTGCAACTGAGGATGTGGGTGTGGATGGGTGTGGGTGTAGGCCAAGAGAAGATTTACATACACCCACACCCACACCCCGCACCCACACCCACTCACACCCCACACCCTCACACCCACACCCATACACCCACACCTACCCACACGCACCTCCACACCCACACCCCACACCCAGCCACATCCACATCCACACCAGCCACACACCCACACCCACACCTCACACCCACCCACACCCACACCCATACCCACCCACATCCACCCACACCCACATCCACACCCTTTTGTTATTAATGAATTATTTTATTAATTTCTCATTAATAACTCTTTTAATAAAAGAAATGTTACTCATGGCATGTGTTTCTTCAACATTAATCAAAGCATCTTGAGAAATTATTTTTTCAAAAAGTTATTCTTATGAATAATAATTATTTGCTCTATTTTTATTTATTCGACCAATTTGATTCTTTTTTTATATATTGTATTATGTTTCAATCAAAAGACGAATTAGTACTATTTATATAATCTTTTATGAATTATTCAATCATGTGTAATATTAGAATAATGCTCTATAATAATTTTCTCATATTAAATCTAACAATAAACTTTGAATCTAAAATAAATATTGATTTCAATTTCTTGTTAGTCGAAGATGAAAAACGAAAATTGTATACGATGGATACTATCATTTTTAAAAAATTAATTTTATTAACAAAGAAAATCAACGATTATTGACATTTATCCAATGATACAAAAGATTTCAATTGTTTCTACATATATGCGAATATGTTTATATATACAAATTAGTGTATATGATGGATAGAAAAGATGACAAGAAAAATCTAACGACATAGTGTATGTTTACGAACGAATGATGGAGAAGCATGATTCCCAAATTGCAGAAAAAAATGTTGAACGACTACTCAATGAATGTATCTTGTTTATCAAATCAACTTGTCAAACAGTGGTTAGACTCTGTACGAGTTTGAAATTTTTCTAACGCGGTTTTTATATTTAATTCAATTTTAAAATATTCTCTTTCTTGTAGTCGATTTTGATATTTATTGATTTTCCTTGATTTTCAGTTATCTTTCATCGACAATGTTACCTTTGTCAGACTATTCTATTTTTATACTTAATAACATCTATCCATACATTCATACGTACATGTTTTTTATCTTTTCTTTTTCATATGAATCTAAATATGAAACTAAGACATAGTTAGAAAACAAAAAGTCAATAAAGGAAGTGGGTGTGATTCTTCTATTTATCAAGACCCCCGCCCTCAAGAGAGCTATTGACTATTGGAAAAACACAAAATTATTCCTTTTCTGAATAGATTATTGTTGAGATACGAAGAAATTTATTTGTAACTTCAACTATTCGAGAGATTCCATATAGTATGCATGTCAACAACGATGAAGTAGCACAACATATTGTTGTATACTGCCCTTCTATTTCAGACAGACAGAAATATCGATTAGGACATCAATAACAGAACAACATGTTGTTTTTTTTTTCATAACAAAATAAATAGAGGAGGTCTCGGATAACATCGATGGACTAGACTTGATTCGATGCTTCAAGCATCAATAATATGTGGAGATCTTTCCTCAAAGTGATGTCTAGGTGTAGATGAGGTGTTCTCTTCTCTTCATTCAACCCATATTCAGATAAAAAGATTGGAAATTGACTTTTGTACGTTAGAAAACGTATCACTAAGAATAGTTCGATGTTGGGTGATAATTGATCTGCAATCCTATATCGAGCAGGTAAAACAAGAAACTATCGAAAAAGAATGATACATGAATAGCTCTTAATTTATCTTTCAAGTAAACATGACATAATAAAAAATGATTATAATAAAAATTGGATAATGAGAAAAAAAAACAGATTGGTGACAGAAAAAAGCCAAAAAGTTCACACTTTTCGGAAATTATTCAGCCTAAAGAGAGAAATCTGGGAAAGCAGTGAAAAAAGTCCATCAAAAGGTACAAAGTTGAAAATGGCTAGTATCTCGATTGAAGCATTTACATTCGCACATATTTTAAATATTGCTACATGTTAGACGAATGGCTTAACTAAGAATCATTTGTCATGCACAACATGTGACTTGTCGTACTCATCATCCTAGATGAAAAAAGTTTGTTAAATTTTCCAAAAATTTTTAAATATCATTATTTGTTTGTCTATATACTTACCATGATTTTGTGAATAACTGCTGCTCCAACTTCAGTTATGATGAAAGCTTGAAATTTGTCTGCCAATTTCAAAATCTTTTCTTCCTAGACACATAAATGAAAATGATTTGATACACATGTTTCAAACTAAAACAAAAATACTATGAAATATTCTTTACTTACAGTTAGTTCGAATGCTTCTTGTATGGGATCATCCAAGAGAGTTTGTAATCCATCGGGTATAAGATCAAGTCCATCAGCAATACCTGCCGTAGCAAAATAGATAACTGCAGACTTGGTCATGGGAATGAGTACATCTCGTTTTCTTTTTTCAGCAGGAGAAAGATGACGTCGAGCTAACTCAGATCGGACAGCCTTCAATTTCTTTCTATGACTATGAATCTTGTAAATCTTAAATGCAGCAATGGGACCTACGAGAGGTATGGCCATTCCGAATGTTGCTACTCCAGTAGTTGTTGTAAGAGCAAGACCAGTAGCAAAAGATGCAACCTTTCTTCGATGATTAATTTCTTTTTGTATGAGTTTTTCATTCGACCAAAGGTAATAAAATGAAATATCTTCAGTAGGCATATCAAACTATTCTAAAGTTTTTGTCGGTGACAGGTTTGGTTTGGTTAATAAATTGATCTATTTCTTCACAAAACTGTCCTGTTCTATCATCTTTCTGACATATTTAAAGAGACGAAACATATTTCAAAATCATGATTTTATTTTTAGAATATTGGAATGTCCCATTTGGACATTTGTCATACATGACTCAATGTATATTGCGTTGAAAAAATGCACTACCGTCGACTATTATGAAATTGAAAAAGGAAAGAAAAAATATAATGATAGTGATCTTGTTTACCTTGCCAACTTAATGATATATGTGATGGCACATAAAATCATCGTTGGTAACGATATTATCTATTTCGAATATGAATTGAAAAGTCCACTAATATTATAAGGATGACGAAACAGAAATATCAATAAGAAAAATAATGATATGTTCTCTGCATCATCTAATAAAATATGTCGTTTCGTTGTATTGACTATTAAACAACTATTAAGGATATATATTTATAAATATACTTTCTACAACTGAAAATTTTTGTGATTCATTTTCCGTCGAGATGTCATAGGTTTCGTCACACCGTGTTAAATAAGATTAAAATGTACTTCAGAAAGTACGTTAATCATCTAGGCAAATGCCGAATTTATCTCTGAAAAATATTTGCGCGAGTAAATTTTCTATTCTCTATAAGATAAATCATTTCTAGATAGATAAAAAGTTTCTGAAAACTCGAATCAGAAAGAAATCAAGTACTTCCATGCAAGATTTTTATTAAATTCATTTTCATCATGTTACTATGGGAAATTTCATTATCAAGACAATCAAAGCTCATAAACTTCACTAGTTTGACAAATGTTCTTAAAAGGAAAAGCTTCCATAAGTGACGAGTATCCTTGTTTTTGTTTTAAAAAGTTAAGTATGACACCATCTGATATTTTTATATTTGACTATCTAATCTATTTAAAAATAATAGAATTGACAATCTTCTATTAATCTTTCTATTTAATTAAGTGACAAGTCAAAGAATGTCGACATAATTTAATGTCAATAGCTGGTCATAAAGATAGGAGGAGAAACTACATTAACCAGTTTGTTATTTTCAAAAATAGGATCTTTTTCTTTTTCAATAAGTACAGTTGGTCTGTCTCTTCTTGTATGCCCTACACTGTAAAGAAAAAGGGTATTTTACAGTGCACCCACCCATACCCTTCAAAAGTGTATCGATGCTGATACACATCAGTTCGAACCTTAACATTTAGTTGTTCTATGAGTTTAGTCTCTATTCACTGTTGACCATAAAATACACACTCCATTTTAATCTTCTCATATCAATGCCTACATAAAGAGCCTTAGCAATGTATGTAGATCTTTCCATAACATTTTTAGAGTTCGTAAGAAGTGACAAATCTTTATTGATATCTCTTTTATGAAAGAGAACTTAAAGTAACCCTCTGTTACTGTTGAAAATTGTTACATATTTATTTGACAACTGGCGAAGATATTTGAATTTCTTATCGTCGTTTTACTTTTTGCCAATCCTGCATATACGTATAAGCAAAGAATATGACACATGAGAATCAAATGAGTCACTAAATTCATTAAATGCATGAGATAATAAAAAAATTTTAAAATAAATTGTCAATCGATGAAAGACTAAATATATTTATATTGAATGAGTAAGAGTGGACGGTTAGTGTTTTTTGAAAATTTAATCGGAAGCGTTTATTTGTAAAGAGATGAGTATTTTCAATGCAATTGATACATTCTGTTAATAGAATATGTTCGTGGCGTTATATTGTGCTTTTAATTCCAGTAATTAATTTTAATTACAGCATCAATTAAACCATCTTCTGGAAAATCTGCCATGATAACCCAGGTGAATGATGCCCGGCCGTAAACGGCCGTACACAGTCAAATACGGTGAAAAACGGCAGCCGTGTACGATAGAATGTAATGCTCTTCGCCGAAAACAAGATTGTCGAAAACTCACATCGCCGACTCGACGTGGAAATTCACCGTAAATTTCCACGTCGAGTCGGCGATGTGAGTTTTCGACGATCTTGTTTTCGGCGAAGAGCATACTTACCGTACGATAGCTGTTTACAACCAACGTAAACAATGCATTACGGTCTATTACGGCCATGGTAAATGACTAACGTAAACTCACAGCGTTTACGACTCCCGTAAAAATACGACGACTGTAAACGACTATCGAACAAAGTCGTAAATCATCGTATACGTCAGTGGTAAACGGTTCAATCAACGTTCATCGTTTCTTGACATATTTTGTCGTAAACGGCCGTTGTCGTCGACGACCTACTCTTTTTAAATGTAGCAACGGTTCCATGAATTCGACTCTAATAGACCTCGGATTCCAAATAATGTTTTTCAAATCTTTCGAAATTAGAAGAAGGAAGTTATATCCAAGTGTGGATCATATGCATCAGAAAACTTATACTATTATTGAATGCCTGCAAGGCAGTATTGAATCCTGATTACTTTCCACAAATGTATTTTACACATTATTGCAGTTCAAATTTTCATATGCGTGTTCTCTCCCAAATATCGAAAACTAGCTTTTACTGCTGTCCTACCAGTTGTATTCTTACTTCGATTAATTTAAGCGTGCTGATTACAAATATCATAATTTTTTCAAAATTATTAAGATAGAAAGAAACGTTCGGAGACCTTTTTCAAAGTTCTGAAAAGATATTTTCGACCTTCAGATCCCAGGTCGGTCATTACGACGATCGTAAACGACCGCATACTGCAGTTTACGATGACGTAAACGGCCGTAACCGACAAAATTACGACCGTATACGGGCCGTAAATCACCCTTTTGGTATGGACCGTATTACGGTCGTATGACGCCGTGTCGTATACGGCGAAAAACGAACATCGTTTACACTGAAACCTGTGCCGTAACACGGCCGTATTCTGACGAACACGACAGTTACACCGACGTTTACGATCGTATTTCTACGTAACCCACCGTCTCAAGTCGGGTGTGGGTGTGGGTGTGGGTGTGGGTGTGGGTGTGGGTGTGGGTGTGGGGTGGGGG